ACTGAAAGCGCTTCATTGGTTCTTTAAAATTCGTGCTAGGTACCGAAAAGGCAAATCGAGGTCGGTCACTTGGCCACAAAGGAATGTTAGAGAAGCAGTCTTTTAAATCTATAATTCTAAGCGGCCACTTCTGGGGGATTGCCACTGGGTTCGGTAAGCCAGGTTGCAGTGCCCCCATTGGAATGAGGCTTCCATTAACTGCATGTAGGTCCTGAAGCAAACGCCATTTCCCTGACCTTTTAGGAATAACAAAGATAAGGTGCGTTCCAAGGGCTCACAGATGGTTCTAAATGCCTCTTGTTAACTTGGTCTAATATGAGTTGTAGAATGGTTAGTTTCTCCTGTGGTAAGGGCCATTGATTAACCCAAATGGGATCATTTGATTTCAATTGTAAAGGCAAGGCTGCCTTGGGTGGAGAAACTTCAATAGCCCCAACTAAAAATTTTTGATCATATCCAACTCCAAAGCGATTATTTTTTTGTTTCTGTTCTCTAGGCTGTGTTGTTCCCTGAAGTTGCTTGCCCAATCCTTTTGAGGGGGTGCTGGGAGAAGGCTACCTTTGCCGCAGCCACCAGAAGAGAGTGTGCAGGTTCCGGGAGGAGAGCAAACTCCTCCCAGGTGCAGAATGCCTGGAGTCCCCTGCACACCAGGCTCAGACGGAGCCAACCAGGGAAGATGCCATCAGCCACTGCAAGGCAAGGCTGGGGGTCAAAGCCCCAGGGCTCCTGAGCCCCCCACACTCCTGGCCCCGGAGGCTTCCTAACTAAGTTTCTTCTGCTTCCTCCTGCTTTGGATCTTGTTTGTTTCTGCGTATATTTTGTTACCGATGTTGGAGTTTCGGCGTATTAATATTGTTGCAGAAATCTCGGAAAGAAATACACAGAGACACAGAATTCGGATAAAATAATAAAATTTATTCTCTCGAGTGGATGGGATTGCCAGAAACCAGTCTGGTCAATACCCGGGCCCCCTTTGTTCAGCATTTCCCTTTTTATATCCTTTTTTAGCCATTATCTCACCCCTAGTGGTCTTTGATATGTAAATACAATTCCAGTTCCTATTTACAAGTCACAGACACAAGATAGGCCATATACATTGTAAATTCACCCTGGCCTGGTAACTTTGTTAGGTTAATGAAGTTACTGGTCAGAGTCAGATAATCCTCACCTTAAACATGGAGTTACAGGAAAATCAAATCCTAAAAGAACACATTACTTATTTTACTTCTACAACTACCTTAATATTCAATCTATTAAGTTATCCAAAACTTTCCCGTATCAATATGAGTCTGTCTGAAGGATGGTACTGTCCGTGTGAGGTCAGAGCCCCAGGGATGGGGCCTCTGCTAGTCTGCAGAGTGGAGCTGGACTGGGCAAGGCTAAGACCACAGGGCTCCCTGGTCGATAGTACTAGAAACCTGGCTAGAAATGCAAGTAGGTTTTACCTCTGTCAACAGTTATCCTGTGAATATGTATCAAAGCCTGGAAATTAGTATATGATTCTCTGTATCTCCCGTGCCATGGGCTCCTCGGTCTAGGTTGCCCTGCAAAAACTGCTCAAATTCTCGCCAGAAGTCCATGTGCTTTGGAAACTGTTCTGGCAGTGTCCTGGGATTTTGCATTTAACAAGTCAAGCCTACTTCCCCAGACAGCCTGCTTCACACTAACCTCCTGTCTCAGTACCTTGATCAACACTGCAGCCTGCAAGTCCTCTTAGGACCTATGTGAGGAATTCTTTGGGATATTTGCCCAGAAACCTGTGGGTTGGAAGGAATCATCCTTTCCCAGGCCTGGACCTTCACTGAAGGGCTGTGCCAGTGCAGGTCTTGTTGTGCCCAGATCGCGATGTCCCAAAGACCACCAGGAGACCGTTTCCGATGTAAGCACACGAGGGTCGTTTATTCAAGCTTAAGCAGGGACTCTCAA